CCGCGCACCTCCGTGAGCTGCTGCTTGTAGGCTTCGATGCTGTCAGCCTGCCTGGACGCCTTGACCGCCTGCTCCTTGGCGGCGGCCGCCGCGGCCTGCGCCGCCTCCAGCTGCCGCCGCATCTCCAGCGCCGCCGTCTCGGCGTCCTCCTTGGCCTGCCGCAGCTGGGCGGCCGTCTGCTCCTGGGCCGCAAGCTGCTGCCGCACATTCTGTGCCTCCTGCGGGGCACAAGCGCGAGGGCAGGCAGGGCGGAACAAGTGACGAGGCGCATTATGCGAGCCATGACAAGGTGCGGCAGGCATGCCAGCCCATTTGAGCCAAAACGGCATGCGGGCTGCACACGGCACGTAGGTGCGGTGCGGGTGCTTGCCTGCGCCTTGCGGCTCATCTGCTGGTGCAGCTGCTGCTGCTTGCCCTGCAGCCCAGCCACCTCGGCACGCAGCTGCTCCAGGCGGCGCTGCTGCTGCTGCGACCGCGCCTGCTCCGCCGCCGTCAGCTCGCCCTTGCGCTTGCGGCGCTTCTTGGCCAGGCCCCCGGGGCTGCCGTCCTCGGCCAGAGGCACCACGGTGAGTGGCACAACATTGCTGCTGTCCACGCCGGCTGGGCCTTCGTCATCGGCAGGAGCAGCGCCGTTGGCGGCGCCGTCCAGAGCGGGCTTGGCTGCTTCGGCGGGCTCGGCGGCTGTGACGGGCTTGGCTGCTGTGGCCGGCTTGGCTGCTTCTGCAGGCTTGGCTGCTTCTGCAGGCTTGGCTGCTTCCGCTGGCTTGGCTGCTTCCGTTGGCTTGGTGGCAAGCTTGGAAGCAGCCGGTTCTGGCGCGACCTGCAGGCCGTTGCATGGAGGCGTGTCCGGGTGGGGACTTTGGAACAGTTGGGTGCATGGACAGGCTGTGCTGGTAAGTCACAGGGGATGATGCAGCACCGTTCTGCACATGGGATGCTGGCGCAGGATGGCAAACAGGAGGGTGCAGCACACAGGGCCGGGCTGCGCGGGTGACGTCGCCAGCACCCGCCCGCCGCCCCTCAGGGGAGCCCAGGGCGCGTGCAGCTCCACATTGGGCACCCATGTGCCAGGCAAGAAGTCTGCAAGGCTCGGCGCACCCGTGCAGGCTCCTGCGGGGCGGGTGTAGGAGGTCTCGGAGGGGGAGGCATGAGCACGCTCAGCAAGCCGCGGAAGCCTGTCTCCTCCTTTGCTGCCGCATGGACAACCATCCTGCTGCCCAGTCTGCGGCTGGGCAGCCGCTGGCTGGAGGCCCCGCCGGGCGCCAGGAGCTGGCTGCCCGGTTGCCGAAGGGAGTGCATTGCGCGTGCTGGGGCTGTCAAAAGTGTTCGTGCGTTGTGGGAAGTCTAATTTGCGGGCCTCGGTTGCAAAAGGAGCTCCTGCCGGGCTTATCCCCCGAACTGCACTGCCCTGGCTGCGCGGCTGAACGCTGGGGCGTGCTGCAACGAGATGATGGTGCAAAAAGACGCGATCTTCGGGTCTGCGGGCGCACGCGCGGCGAATCAACGTCCCAGGTTTTCCACCTGTGGTAGTGAACTTGCGGTCCAGCTTTGACGGGGCGCTCAGGGGCTCGAGCAGTCAGGCGCCCACACCTCACACCCGAGTGTCGCGTAGATCAGTTAAACCAAATGCAGCAGGTGCTGGGGGCCTGCCCTGCCCTCTGGCCTGAGTTTGACCCGCGGCATGTTGGGAATGGAGCGCAGCAAGCGGCGGCGCGTGTCCCTCCCCTCCCCAGTGCTGATAAGTTGCAGTGCGTGGTCTAATGGCGAATAAGAACCAACAAACCACACAGTCCAGGCTCTTGCGCCTTGCCTACCGTGCTGGTCGCACCGCCGGTCTGCCCGAAGCTTGCTTGCTAGGCAGGGCGGCCTCGGCGCTGACAAGCTTCTTCCTTAAGGCGCCCATGCTAGGCATCGTAGCTTACAGATCAGCGCGCCTGGAGTATCGGGTGGTTGCAGGCGACAAGTGTGCACAAGGGGAACGGAGGGGAACCGAGAAGAGCTGGGAAAAAGGCGCGGTGGCAGCGGCGTGGAGCCACACCAGAGGGTACAAGTGTTGGAGGGGTGTGTTGCATGCATGGCAGTGGCGCGTGGCTGCTAAAAAATGTTCGTGCGTGGGCAACAGGCCCAAGGGTTGGAAAGGTTCGGGTGGCGTAAGCGGAGCGTGGCAAAATGGATGAGGCGGAGGCTTTCAAAGCCAAGCACAAGGCGGGTACAGGGAAAACTGGCACAAGGAGGTGCTAGCACAGGCAGCACTGTGAAGAATGAAAGGAAACGCCTCGTCTTGGGAATGAAACATCCGGATGTGCTGCCATATGAGGCGCTCTGCATCGCTAAATCTCAACAAGCCGGCCTCAGGCCAGCCTCAGTGTGCTGGTGCCGCAGCTGGCAAGGTCGGGGGTGGCGGGGCCTTCCGCGGTGGGTGATGTGGGCGCCGCCAGGCTGGCAGCGACGCTGGCGCAGCCCACGCCCAGCAGCGCCGCTGCTTCGGCGCCGTGTTCATGCTGCAGGTAGACGGCGTGCAGCCCCAGCACAAGGTCCTCCAGCTGCACCAGGTGCGTCCTGCTGCTGCCGGCGGGCTTGTACTGCTGAGTCTTGAGGCGCCAGTCGGCGGCAGGGCGGCGGGGGTACTTGCTGCACGCAAGGAGTTGAGGTGCAGGGGCGGAAGGTATGAAGAAGAAAAGCAAGTAGCAATCATAGCATTGCGTCCTGTGCACCAACCGGCCAGGCCAGAAGGCAGGCAGCCAGGCAGGCAGGCCAGCGGCCAGTCACCTGCAGAAGGCGTGCAGAGCCTCGGCGGGCAGGTGGTGCAGGCGCTGGCGCGTGTCTGGCGAAACGTCGGCCCAGCTGAGCACGGGGTTGAGCACAAACGACCAGCGCCCGCTGGCGGAGTCCTGCCGCCCCACAAACTGCACAGCCTTCTTGGCGGTGCGGGGCTGGTGGAGGTTCATGCGCAGCCACGTCGTCAGCGCGGCAAATGCGCGGTGGCCCTCCTTGTTGCCGAAGCCTGAAGCCGCGGCGCTGCTGGGGACGGGCGAACATGCGGGATGCTGCAGCCGCGGTTGCAGGGTGGCCGCCGCTGGCAGCTGCTGCGTCGCTGGCTCGCATGTCGTGTCCGCACTGCCGCTGCTGTGGGTCGGCGAGCATGCCTGCTGCTGCTGCTGCTGCTGCTGGGCATCCAGCTGCCGCTGCTGCTTCTCCGCGCGGCGGCTGGTGACGCCCCGCCAGGTGTACGTGCGACGGGTCAGCACGCCAGGCGCGCTGCCAGCTGACACCACGCGGACCTTACGTGGGCGGTGCTCACCACCTGCGGCGCGAGGCAGTTGCAAGGCGGTGAGCACCAGCAGCCAAGAGGCACAGCCACCTCAACGCGGCAACTGGCTAGCCTTCCATGCGCTCACCCTCGCAGTCACTGTCGGTCGCTGCATCACAGCCGCTGGTGTGCGAGTGGGAGGCGGTGCTGGCAGGAGCGGGAAGCCGCCGCCGCTCGGTGGTCTGCGGCGGGGGAGCCGGCCAGGCGGCAAAGCGCAGTGCCGCCAGGACCTCGGCTCCCAGCTCACAGTCGTCCGACTGGCCCAGGCCGCAACCCAAGACCTGCAATTGCAGGCATTGCGAGTGTTGGTCATCGCTTTGTGCCTCGAAAGATACTGAACGCTCGGAGGCGTGCAGAAGGGGTGTAAATACTCTCACAACCCCAATCGATCGGCCCCAGACGCGGGTGGCCCGCCCCTGCACCTGAGTAATCGCACGCTTCCCGCTGCCTCACCTCTGTTGGGCCCTGCGACCCCTGCATTTTGCTTTCGAACAGCTGCTTTCCCCTCTAGGCAGGCAGAGGCGATGGTGAGCCAATTGCCGGTGCGACTCGAAAGAGGACCCGAGCTCTGGCAGCAGTCGCTCAACTCACAGGGAGGACAAGATTTGTCTCGGTGGATGGCAAACGGTGCATGGCATGAAATGGGCTGAAACCACAGCTGAAAAGTCATCTCATGCTGCGTGCTGTGCGTTTTGGGTTACTCACTGGCTCAAGGCCAATTTGGACGGTGCCAGGAAGCACATTTGGACGGTGTATCACCCCCTGGTGCCGTGTCCAGATTGCGCGCACATGCTGGTGAGGTGCAGGGACACATGCAGCTGTGCAGTGGTGACGACGGCGGCGGAAGCCCGGTAAGCGCCACCCTTCCAACCGGTTCCACCAGTGGTGCTGGGCCTTGTGTATTCGCACGGCTTGCATGACAGGATACAGATTCACAAGTATTCAGAGTGGTGATCGATGGATTGGTTACTAGATGGACAAAATTGGAATGGCGGGATCAAAATGGTCGAGTGGCGCAGGGGTTCAGAAGGCGCGGAGCAACACGTTGGTTCATTTCATAAGCATTCCAAACCAAAAACCGAGGGTCAGAATGTCAGTAGTTCACAAGAGCCAAAAGGGATAGCAAAATGGCAGGTGCCCGCCTCGGTGGCGGCCAAAGTGCCAAAAGAGCAGGAGACGACAGCACAGACCAATGCGGGCCCGCACGTCAGCGGCCGTTGCCGTCGCCAGCTGCCTGCCGTGTGCACAGCTGCAAGGTGCCAGCCGTGAGGGCGACGCCCAGGCAGGCGCCTGCCAGCGTGTCTGAGCACCAGTGCGCGTCAGCTGCCACCCGGGATGCGGCGGTCAGCAGGACAGCGGCGCCCCACAGCCACCACCGGCTCTCCTCCAGCCACCCGGCTGCCTGCTGCAACCACACGCCGGGCTGCAGCCGCTGCTCCCGCTGCTGCTCCTCCAGCGCTTGCACCGCAAGCGGCAGCAGCACGAAGAGGAGCGTGCCGCAGATGAAGGTGGCGGCCGTGGTGTGGCCGCTGGGGAAGGCGAAGCTGGTGGGGTAGTCTGCTGGGCGGGCGCGGTGGAAGGCATGCTTGAGCGCATCCACCAGCAGCGGGTCGCCGTGCCTGATGGCGCCGCCACCCAGCCCATAGGCAAGCGCCGAGGTGCCCAGCGCCTGGATGAGGCGCGGCTGCCGCGTCTGCAGCGCTGCCGCGGCCACTGCCGCCCAGCCACAGAGGCCCAGCATGATGGCGGCGTCCGATGCCAGCTTCCCTGCAGCATGGCAGGGCGGGGCAGGGAGCAGAGTGCGCGGCTCTCAGGGCAGGGCATGCTGCCGGGTGGCGGGCGGCACGAGCCAGATGGGGGCAGCAGTCACAGGCTGGCTGCTGCACTCGCCTGCCACCAGCCTCTGCATCTCGAGGTCCAGGTGGGTGCTGACCCAGGCGTGCGCGGCGGCGTCCAGGGGCTGCAGCAGGTGCAGGCTGCCGAGCAGGAACACGTCGCCCGCCACCGCCGCCAGCCCCGCTGCCGCCAGTGGGAGGGTCAGCGCGGGCAGGCGGTCGGTCGTCAGCTGATCCTGATCGATCTCACGAGCCGCGGGCGCTGCTCCCAGCCCCAGCAGGGTCTCCCACGAGCCGGTCACGGGTGCAGCACGGCCCGAGCGCACAGCGCTGGCTGGGTCGGGGCCGCGTTTGGAGGACCGATGATCTGGTTGCAGGGAGCATGTAACAGCGAGAAGCCGGCTGCCCCTTGCGGAAGCCGTGAGGGCGGACAGCATGCTCACTGTGAGAGGGTGCTGCTGGCTGCAGAGGGCTAAGCTACACACATAGCTGTGTAAGACAAACTCCCGTTGACAATATTCGAATGTCGATGCCCTTGGTGGCATACCCGTCACAGCGAGCGCAGCGCAGCCGGGCCCACCGTAGTACCTGCTGCTGGCCAGATGACAAAGGCACAGATTGTTACAAAATGTGGGATACCAATGCAGTACAAAAGGGCATACAGGGCAAACAACCGAGGTCAAGGCTGGGAGCACATAGTGCACAGCCCTGACAAAGGCACGCAGTCGGTGCCCAGACGGGAGCGCAAGGAACCGAGAGTACAATAGCAGGAGAGAAAGTACAGCAGAGGAACGGAATGGGTGCCCTGAAACGAAGTGGGAAGATGGTTTGTGGGCACGCGCCCCTGGCTGGCCGGCCCAGGCGAGACCTGCCGAGCAAGCCCAGCCCGGGCTCACCCCATCAGCTCATCTTCGTGAATCATCACATCAGGCTTGCCCCTCCAGCTCTTGAGCGGCGAGTAGAATATTAGGTTGCTGACGTGGCTGGTGTACAGGCAGGCAAACCTGGGGACAGAGGGGAGGTGCACCCGGGGCAGCGGGCAGGGCTGGCGGTCAGGGCGACAGCAGAGGCAGGCAGCCACTGAAACCCACGCCCTTCTCCGGCGCAGCATAAACCGGCAGGAGGCAACCCCACCTCTCCATCTGGTGGGCGTAGCGCGAGTTCTGATACCCTGTCTTCATGAGCTGGCCCCACGGGTGGAACTGCTCGTGGTGGCTGCGCAGCAGGTCGCGGTGCCGCTCCCGCAGGCTCTCCCGCTGCGGCCGGGGCGGCGGTCGGGCATACAACAGGCTGGATGGCTGGGCGTGGCACAGAAGCAGGCCAGCAACAGCAGTGCTGGGCTAAACCAGCACATGTGGAGGCAGGTCTGAGGGTAAAGCCAAGGCTGGTAGGATGACCCTGGCAGTACCATCAGCTCCGCCACCAAGCAGCAGCAGCTGCAGCAGCACATACCTGCTGCTTCAGGTTGCTCAGCATATCTGCAAAAGCATTCAGCTCGTCCTCCGAGCTGGTCCCCGCCGCCGACAGGTCCATGTTGTGGCTGGGGTCGCCATCTGCGGGCGCGGGTACATGGGAAACACTCGTCACAATGGCTGGCTGGTCGCCAGCCCACAACGGCTCCTCCCTTCCGAGGGTGACGCTGCGCCCGGCTCAAACAGGCATCGCAGTGCCCAGGGCAGGCCTGCCCCGCCGGCGCTGCGGGCGGCGGCGCGTATCGCCGGCACGCCGTCAAACAGTTGGGCGGGGCGGGGCGCACCCAGCGGCGCGTTGCTGAGCTGCCACTCCAGGCGCTGGATCTGGTCGTCCAGCGCGTCCCGCTGCTTGCGCAGCACCCGCAGCTCTTGCATGTTGTTCTGCGGGGGAGGTGGCGGGGCAGCGGCACACGCCCCTTCAACCGACAGCTAGCTGTTTGAGGCCGGCGGCAAGCACACACGCAGGATCCACCCACCGGCGCGGCGCTGCCCCACCCCTCCCCAGGGCTGCATGCTGGCGTCCCGCCAGGGCCGCACCTTGCACCCCGCCAACACCTCCAGCTCGGCATCGAGCTCCGGGATCACCAGCAGCGTGCGCCAGCCAATCGCCTTCTTGCTGCGCACCACGTCCGCCCAGATGTGGTCGCCCACATACAGCACCTGCGCAGGTGGCAGCTTGTTTCCCGTCTGTTCTCAGCCGTTGGCTGAGGGAGCTCCCTTCCAGCAGGCCCGCCAAGCCCGGGCCCCCCCAAGCACACGCCCAGCTGTTACACAAACACAGCCACCGCCACCACCAAATGGCTGCCCCCTCTCCTCCCCCCGCACCTGGCTGCCCGAGGAGACATCCAGCATCTTGTGCAGGTCCAGGTAGTAGCCTCCCTGGAACACGCGGGCCCGGGCGCCCGGCTGGTGCTCCACGTGGCTGGGAGCGGTGCTGCCCTGCAGGCTTGGAGCAGCGCTGGCTTGGGTTGGAGGGCGGCACTTCGGGGCCCCATGGCCGGTCAAGGCCCGGCTGCCGGGGACACAGCAATGGCACAGGGCCAAGACCCCAGGCCAGGCACAGGCGGCAGGGAGGCGCCGGCGGGATGCTGGCTTGAGGGGCAGCGCACAGCAAAATAAAAGGCTCTTTGGCGTGGGAGGCAAGGCAGGGCGCCGCACCAGGATGGGGGTGGGCAGGTCTTCCTCTCCGATGGGAATCATGGGTGACCCTCCCTCTGTGTTCCACAGCATGCCCGTCTGCAGCCAGGCGCATGGAGGCGGCATGCCATAAAGCATGGCGCGGCGCAGCAGACATGGCAGGCACGCGGCGGTCCCGGCTCGCCACACCCACACGCACAGGCAGGCAGGCAAACGTGGATGGGCGTCTGCGGGGCGACAAGGGCCGAGGCCTCACCCCCGTGTGCACTTCAAACAGGTTTGACCGCTCCGTGAAGTATCGTGGCTTGCCGCACCCCACCACCACCTGCATCAGAGGCAGCCAGCCAAACATGAGGCAGCCAACCGCCGCATAAGGCACCAGCGGCAGGCAGGGTTGGGCAGCAGGTTGCGCGCTTCCGCATCCGGTGCAGCGCAGTGCTCAGGCGCTGCACGGCCCGACAGCACCGGCCGCGCCGACCCCTCGGCGCAACAGCCCCGCAGCAGCAGTGGCAGCACGAGCACCAGCATGCGGCCTTCCTCACCGCATCAAACAGCTTCAGCCAGTCCTCGCTGCGCTCCGCTCCCTTGCGCCGGCTGATCACCCAGTTCATCACAACATGTGTGTAGTCCCACTGCATGGGAAGGGGTCAGAGAGGGTTTCCAGACAGCACTCTGTCGCACACAGCAGTGCCGCTGCTGTGCTCCCCGCCTGCGGGAAGCCCCCAGGGGTGCCGCCCATCGGCCGCCACGGCGAGCGCTTGCGCCTCCAGCGGTCCCAGAGGCTGGTCGCAGCTTACTCCCTACCCACCATCGAGTTGGTTGCCACAAAGATCTGCTTGCCGCTCTGCCGCAGCATCTCCAGCAGCGGTACCAACCCGGGGTCGTCGTGGATGTACCTGCAGTACCAAAAGTACAAAGCCTTACCAAGCAGAACATTTAGCTGCAAGCACCGCCATGCAGCGGACAGAGCAAGCTGGCGACCGGCAGATCCTCTGCAGCCCCGCCCCGCTCAGCCCCTCGCCCCCATGCCTCACTTCTCCGGGTTTGCCGCCACCTCCCGCTTGATGCTGCCGTCCCTGTGGCACAGGTCCACAGCGCCACGCACATCCCTGCACCGCGCCACACAACGACACCGGACAGTCGTGTCAAGACCTCTCAGGCGGTAGACATTCGTGTGGTGCGGTGTGCACCCACTACCACATGTGTGCCAGCCGCCCGACAGCGGCAGCCCCACCACCCGCCGCGGCAAGCACCTGTACACGTCGGCATACGTCTTGCCGGGCGGCAGCTGGGAACCTCCCTCCTGGTCCATCATCTCAACCAGCTGCAGTACAGGCGGTACACATGGGGCAGTACGTGTAGCCGACACAGCAGCACGTGCCAACCCGGCAGAGCGGCAGGCAGCACCACTGCTTGCCTGCATAAACAGATAAGCTTCTGCCAGACTGAACAGAGTGTCGATGAGCGCAAACGCCTGCGGGGCGGGGGGAGTGGGGGGGGGGGGTGAGCGCAGGTGCAGGGTGGCATCCAAGCACAATGAGTGCTAGGATCGAGGGCCGCACAGGAGTGTCCAGGGACAGGCACAGGTGCAGTGCAGGCCTGCTAGCAGGCTCATCACCCACCGGCTCATCATACTCCTCCCGCTTGTCTGCACCGGGCAGTAAAGGCAGGACACAGCATGGCAGGGGAAGTGAGGGAAGGCGCGGGGGCAGAGTGCTCCTTGCTAAGCCTCCCCGGCAGCTTCTGTGGTGCGCTGGCCTTGGCACTGACACCGCCGCCGCCACCCCGGCCACCCACCTGCGTTGTTGTACACAGACATTCGCTGCTCCCGCGGGAGGGCCCGGAATCCGTGGAACGCCAGCTTGACATACCTGGGCAGGAGACAGCAGCGGCGGGGCAGCAAGGCGCGGCTCGGAGGGCAGAACTGGCGAGCCCGCCCAGCTTCCGTGGCAACGATGCCGCTGCCGCTGCTGCTGCTAGACGCGCGCCTTTGCAGCCCCAATGACAAATGCCTCCACCCCAACCCACACAGCAGCGCCTCCCCCCCCTCACTCACTTGTGCCGGTCAATCTTGAGCATGTTGCCACGCTTCTTGTCAATCACCAGGCCCCGGCACATGTAGCCGTGGTCAAACGTGAGATCATACAGGCTCTGCAAACCGGGTGGGGCACATGCGGCGCCAGGGCACACCCAGCAGCTGTGAGCGGGAGGTCTGCGCCATTCAGACAGAACCGAAAAAATAAAGAAAGAAAAAACGCACCTCTGGGTACCCAAAGTAGCGGACCAGCTTGTCCACGGTCTGCTCGTGGGCCAGCGTCTCAAACGTCTCTGGGCGGTACTGCTTGCAGGTACACAGGAGGGCAAGGGAAGAGAGGGGCGAGAAGCGCAGGAGCAAAAGAAAGCAGTTAGTGTGAGGCTGAGGTGCATTCAGCTAGCTTGCAACCAGCCGCCGGACGTGTCTCCCCGCCTCCCCGCCAGCCATGTTCAGGCAGTACCTGCGCTAGCGTATAGTCCTACAAGCAGCAGGGGGCATGAAAGCAGCAGCGTGCAGGTGAGCAGTCGAGCACCCAGCCAACCAATGTCAGCATCAGCATGTCTATCCTGCCTCGCCAAGCACCTCCAGCTGCCACAACTGCCCAGCTGCTGCACCAGCTCACCATGTCGAAGCCGACCGCTTTGATGTTCTTCATGTTGAGGCTGCAGGGAAGAGTGGGTAAGGAAGCCGCGTGTGCGTCATCAGCCATGGAAGTGGCCACCACTCCTAGGGAGTGCAGGCAGCCGGTGCGGGGTGTCCCGCCCACCTGCGGTTGCAAAACACCCGCCGCCGGATGTCCAGAGGGCTCGCCCACACTTGGTCAGTCCACACAGGCTGCTCCTCTGCAGGGCCATGGGCGATGTGGCGGGCACACGGCAGCGCAGGGGCAGGCAGTGATCAGTGGCACATTCAGCGAGAAGGGCAAAGGGCATGGGCTCCTGCGGCACTTCTCTTCAAAGCCATCGGCAGCAGGCTAGGGAAGCGGCAGTGCCAGCACCTGAGGTAGTGACTGGCGGCGGCGGGAAGCTAACAGTGGACTTGTCGCGCGGCAGCGGTGGCCAGGCTGCCGGCACATAGGGGCTGCCGCCATTGGCGCAGAGGTCGGAAACCACGGGGCGAGCCCTGGTGCACAGACAGCGAGCAAAAACACAAGGAGCTCATGGTGTGACATGTGTCTGAGGCAGGCAACTGGCAGCCACCACCACGCAGATACCATGCATGCAGTGTACGGATGAGAGTGGCAGGTGTGCATGCAGCAGGACAGAGCAGGCGCGGCTGCCAGGTATCGATTGTCGGCGATGGCGGCAGCGGAAGGCGCCAAGCGTGCGGGCGTGCCTGTTGCCCGCCAGCGCAGTGCGCAGCTGGCTGCCACGGCCGAATGCTGCTGCCAGCCGTCCTGCGGCTCGACACGCTAGCATGCTGCTGCTGCTGCTGGCCACAGACGCGCCCTTGCTAAAGCTGCACGCCCTGCCCACTTCGCTCCCAACGACGGCGTTGCCGGGCGGCCCAGGGTTCTGCATACACTCGGGCCGCTGCTCGCGGAGCGGGACAGGCGGGCCACCGGGATGGGCTCCAGCTGCCGCTAGGGCTGGCTGTGTGGCCTGGGCGCCGGAGCAGCTGAAGCGGGGGTTGAGGCGGAGCGGAGGCAGACCGCTCGCCTGGTCCGCCAGCGATCAGGTGGGTCAGCACGCAGGTGGGTCAGCACAAAGAGCGGCTGGTGTTAGCGGAGGTCATCGACTGCCACCTGGGCAGGCGCTGCGCATGGCTGCACACGACATCATGCACCAAGGAATGCATGCCACTGTTCCCTGATCCCATGCCAGCGTCTTGAAGGGGTCTGTGCACCGCTTGGGGTTGCACATGCAGCATTTGCAGCATGGTGGTTCCGAGAGGGCTGCAGAGCGGTGCAGGCAGCCTGGAGCAGGGGCGGACACGTCTGCGGCGGGTCCAGAGAGCCAGGGTGAGAAGCCCAGTTAACTCGACGTCGCTGGCTAGCCGCCAGCGGACGCCGCCACCCGCCCCCCAGCGCCGTTCCTTTTCGCCGCTCCACGTCCGCGCAACATGTTGCTGCCCTGGGCACATGCAGGGGTGGAGGGCGTGCTGCTCTTCTATGCCTACAGGGACCTGAGCCGGGGCGGCGCGAGGGAGGCTGCGCGCGACTGGTTCCAGGCGCTCTGCACCGAGCAGGTGCTGGCCGCTGCAGTGCATTGCAATCCTGTGCAGTGCAGTGCAGTGCACTCCTGTCCGTGGGTGCTGCAAGGGACCGGAAGCCGAAGCTGCCTGCGCCGAGCAACATGGGTACCACCACATCCACACCATGCAGCCTGCCGTGCCTGCAGGGCCTTGTGGGGCGGGTGCGCATCGCTCTGGACGGCCTGAATGCCACGCTCGGCGGCAGCCTGGCAGCCCTGCGGCAGCACGCCGAGGCTGTGGAGGCTCGGTTTGGGGCTGGCGGCGCGCCCATCGATTTTAAGCTGGCCGAGAGCAGCGGGCGTAGGAGCGCAGCCACGATGCGGCAGTCGGTGAGCGCTGGGGCGTGGCCTGAGTGCCTGCTCCCTGTCTTCGCCTGCTCCCTGCTGCTGAGCAACACAAGCATGCGCCGCTGGCTGCCGCAGGGCTTTGACCGGCTGTCGGTGCAGATGTGCAAGGAGGTGGTGAGCCTGGGCCTCCCCGACTTCCTCCCGTCTGCCACCAGCAACGACGACGGCGGTGGCGATGCCAGCCTGGTGCTGCCGGCGGGCGCTCGGCACGTGGAGCCCGAAGAGTTTCATGCCATGCTGGCAGCGGCGGCAGGTAGCGGCTGCGGCAGTGTTGCGCGCGGTGGCGGCAGCCAGGGCAGCGATGGAGGCAGCAGTGTCGGAGGGAGCAGCAGGGAGACTGTGCTGATCGACACCCGCAACTTCTACGAGACGCAAGTCGGGCGCTTTGAAGTGGTGGGTGTGCTCCGATGGTGGCGGTGGCTGCGGTGTGGCGGTTGTAGGTGTGTAGCAGGGTGCCGGTTAATGGGGCACCAGCAAGCTTGTCCCTGGTGCCACACTGATGCTGCCTCCATGCCCTGCCTTGCCCTGCCCTGCCCTGGCCCCCTCCGCAGCCTGGAGTTGCGCTGCTGGACCCGCAGGTCCGCTGCTTCTCAGACACGCCCGCCTGGCTGGACGCCAACCAGCACCGCCTGGCCAACCGCCGCATCATGATGTATTGCACGGGGGGCGTGAGGTGAGCCTGGTGGGGCCGGGAGGATGGCTTGCTGGCTGGATGGCTGGCTAGCTAGGTTGGGTGGGTGGGTGGGTGGGTGGCTGGGTTGGTGGTGGGC